TCAGGTCATGATCTCAGGGTCCTGGGATCGAGCCCCTCATTGGGCTCCCTGCTCGGCAGAGAGTCTGCTTCTCCCTCCGCCTCTGCCTGACACTCCCCCTTCTAGTATATGTGCTGCTGAAGCGAGCACGACACTCCCCCTTCTTGTGCTCTCTCTCTTACTCTCTCTGACAAATAAAATCTTAAAAAAAAAAAAAACCCTTGCCATTTGTCACCAACTCTTTTTTGTACTTTGTTTCCTACTTGATAGACTATTTTTTTTTTTTTTAGCAGCTTTAGGATTACAGAGAGAGAGAGACAGCATGAGCATGAGCAGGGGGAGCAGCAGACTCCCTGCTGAGCAGGGAGCCCGACATGGGACTGACACAGGACTCGATCCCAGGACCCTGAGATTATGACCTGAGCTGAAGGCAGACGCTTCACCGACTGAGCCCCCCAGGCGCCCCAGTATTGATACATTATTAGCCAGAGTCCATAGTTTACCTTAGCAGTCACTCTTGGTGTTGCATGTTCTGTGTGATCTTTGACAAACATAATCACTGTAGTGTCACACACAGTAGTTTCATCCCCTAAAAATCCCCTGTTCTCCTCTTCTTAATCCTTGCCTCCTCCAGCCTCTGGCAACCACCACTATTTACTGCCCCTGGAGTTTTGCCTTTTCCAGAATGTCATAGAGAGGGAATCACACATTGTGCAGCCTTTTCTCGGCTCAGTAGCTCATTTCTTTCCAGCATGAAGAATATCCACTGTCCGCATGGACAGTTTATGCAATCACTCACTGAAGGACATCTTAGTTGCTCCTGAGTTTTGGTAATTATGAACACATTAACTTATTTTTAAGTAGTATTAGCCTATAGTCACATAATAGATCATTAAATCAGTATTGAATTTAGAAATTAAGTCCATCCCCTCATTTTTCACATAGTTGACTTCGGGGCAGTATCTGCAAGTGTGTGACGGGGCTGGGCACTGCCTTAGGCCCATCATGCTCCCTTCACAGAAGCAGACATAATGCGGAGATTGGAAGCCCTTTTGTTAGCAGCGGCACTGTATTTCTTGGAAAGGTGGTTTATTTATTATTTTTTGTTAACTTCAAGCAGCAGGAAAGAGAATTTAGCTAGTCACAACTTGTGACAGTGTGTCTTTTTGGAGAACCAGAGGGCAGACACAGCTTCAGTGTGGTTGATCCCTGAACTTGAAATCAGCAGTGGCTTCTGGGCCTGCTTCTGTGACTAATTATTTGTGTATTTTGGTCAGTCATTTTGCATGTCTGGGCTTCCCTTTGATCTTCTGGGAGGTGAAGGAATTGGGCTAGGAACGCATGTCTGAGGTCTCTTTTCCCACTGCTTTCTTGCTTCTGGCTTTGCCAGATCTAGCCTTTGCTGCTGGTAACGATACGCTATGTTATCTCTAGTTACAGCTTCCTTGAATGGTCTAAACCAACGAAGTAACTTGAAATTAGTCTAGTAATGAGCTGTTAATTGCAATTTTAATTAAGATGATTATAAATTCACATGTAGTTATAAGAAATCACAGCATTTTGCCTGGTTTTTCCCAACGGTGACTTTTGCCAAAGCGTGGTTTACTGCCCTCACCAGGACACTGACGTTGGTACAACCCACCAACCTTAGTCATATCTCCCCATCTTTACTTGTATTTGCTGGTGTGGGCGTGGTGACCTCTGTGTAGGTGTGCGTGTCCACTGCTGGACTAAAGGTACTGGAATTCTCAGCACACAAGCCACCCCTGTCCCACTCACCTCCCATCCTTGACCCCTGGCAATCAGCAGTCTGTCTTCCATTTCTAAAATGGTGTCATTTCCAAAATCCAGTCATACAGTATGTAACCTTTCGGGATTGGCTTTTATCTGCTCAGTGCAATTCCCTGCAGGTTCATCCAAGTTACACATGCAACACTGGTTTTGTTTTGGTTTGCTAAGTAGTATTACATTGTGCACGTATGTACTGCAGTCCAGGACATCTGGACTGATCCCAGTTTGGGGCTGTTACAAATAAAGCTGCTATGAATGTCGTGTGTAGGTTTTTATGTGAAGACGTGTTTCCTTTTCGATAAATCAGCTAGGAGCAGACCTGCTGGGTCCTGTGGCAAGTGTGTGCCAGGTAGTTTTCCAGAGTTGCCTTGAGCCCTTATAACCCGTCTCTGCTCTGCCCTCCGCTTGCGGGCAACCTTGTATAGACGACTTTGCGTTTGCTGGAGTTTCACGTAAGGAACTCCTACATTCTCATTTAGGTCTGGCCCCTTTCATTCAGCAGCATGCTTCAAGTCATCCGTGGTGTTTGTGTGTCCTAGTGGCTCATACCCTCCATGCTGAGCAGCAGTCCACTCCGTGGGTAGACCCCTTTCTGTTTATCCATTCACCTGTCTGGACATTTGGGTTGTTTCCAGATTTTGGCTATTGTGAGTAAAGCTGCTGTCAACATTGGTGTGTAAGTCTTTGGTAGACATATGTTTTCATTTCATGTAGGTAAGTACTATACGTAGCAGAGGAATTGCTGGGTTGTATGGTGAGTGTGTGTTTAACTTTTTAGGGCACTACCAAGCTGTTTTCTAAAGGGGTTGTACCAGGGGCGCCTGGGTGGCTCAGTCAGTTAAGCGGCTGCCTTTGGCTCAGGTCATGATCCCAGGGTCCTGGGATCGAGCCCCGCATGGGGCTCCCTGCTCGGCGGAGAGCCTGCTTCTCCCTCTCCCTCTGTCTGCGGCTCTGCCTACTTATGCTATTTCTGTTAAATAAATAAATAATCTTTAAAAAAATAAAGGGGTTGTACCGTTTTCCATTTTCAGCATGTGTGAGAGTTCATGTTGCCTCACATCCTTGCTAACGCTTGATATGGCTCATCTTTTCAATACAAGCCATTCTGGTAGATGTGTAGTAGTACCTCATTTTATTCTGCATTTCTGAATGACTAATGATGAACATCTTTTCACATACTATTGACCCTCTGTATACCAGTGTTGCTGTGGCTAATATATGCCCTTTGTATTTCCATACAAATTTTGAAATCATTTTCTCAGTTTTTACAAAAAAGCTGCTGGGATTAGAGTTAAGATTGTATTGAATCTGTAGATTGATTTTGAGAAAATTGACCTTCTTGAGTCTTCTGATCAATGAACATGATAAAGTTCTATTTTTTTAGGTCTTTTGTTTCGCTTGGCAATGTGTAGTTTTCAGTGTAGGGGTCTTGTATGTCTCTTGTTAAATTTTATTCCTGGGGCGCCTGGGTGGCTCAGTCGTTGGGTGACTGCCTTCGGCTCAGGTCATGATCCCAGGGTCCTGGGATCGAGCCCCACGTCGGGCTCCCTGCTCAGCGGGAAGCCTGCTTCTCCCTCTCCCGCTCCCCCTGCTTGTGTTCCCTCTCCTCACTGTGTCTCTGTCAAATAAATAAAATCTTAAAAAAAAAAATTTATTCCTTAATAGTTCTGTGGTTTTGGATGCTGCTGTAAATAAGACCTGTATGTAATAATATTTTCCAATTGTTTACTGCTCTCAAATAAAAATGCAGTTTTAAATATTTATATCCTGTGACCTTGCTAAATTCACTTACTAGTTGTAGTTGGTTTTTTTGTTTAGTTGGTTTTTTGTTTCAGTGTTTTTGTGTTTTGTCGATCCCTTAGGATTTTCTGTATAAACAACCGAGTCATCTGTGAATAGGGACGGTTTTATGTCTTTTTGATTTTTTTTTTCCTGTCCCGGTGTTCAGGGTCCTAGAACAGTGTTGGCTAGAACTGGTTAGAGTAGGCATCCTTGTCACATTCTGATTTAAGGGAAAACCATTCAGTATTTCACTACTAAGCATATCAGCTATAGGTTTTTGGTTAGATGTCCTTTATCAGACTGAGGAAGTTCCCTTCTATTCCCAATATACTGAGAATTTTTTAAATCATGAATTAGTGTTGAACTTTGCCACATGCTTTGATGAATCTTTGAGATCACCATGTGGTTTATCTCATTTGTTCTATAATATACTGGATTACATTGGTTTGTTTTGAAATGTTAAATCAGGCTTGCCTTCTTGGGATAATTTCTACTTAATTAGATTTAATTTGCTAATATTTTGTTAAGGATTTTTATGTCTATGTTTGTGACGGATTTTTTGGTAATGTCTTTGTGAGGTCGTGCTGGCCTCCAAAAACAAGAAAACTTCCCTCTTCCTCTGTTTTTGAAAAAGTTTGTCTAAGATTGATGTCTGTCTTGGATATTTGGCAGAAAAGTCTTCAGGGCCTGGAACTTTGTGGGAAGGTTTTCTATTACAGATTCAGTTGTATTAATGTAATGCATTTAGGACTATTCAGATTTTCTGGTTCATCCTGTGTTAATTTGGGTAAATTATATTTTTCAAGGTATTTATCTCATCTAATTTTTGTCCATAATTTTCTCTATCATTTTTTTTTAAGATTTTATTTATTTGACAGAGCGAGACATAGCAAGAGAGGGAACACAAGCAGGGGGAGTGGGAGAGGGAGAAGCAGGCTTCCCGCGGAGCAGGGAGCCCGATGCGGGGCTCGATCCCCGGACCCTGGGACCATGACCTGAGCTGAAGGCAGATGCTTAACGACTGAGCCACCCAGGCGCTCCTCAGCCCATTAAATTTATTGAAATTTGTTTTAAAGTCTAAAATGTGACATGTCTTGGTGATTTTTAAAAAAAAACTGTTTATAGATGTTGGGTGTCCTGTATGTATCAATTAGGTCATGGTAGTTGGTAGTGTTTTTCAGATCATCCATTGTTCTTGTTGTTTGTCCATTCTGTCTGTTTCTGAGAGATGGGTGCTAAGATTTTTATAGCTGTGTGTTGTCCATTTCTCCTTTAATTCTGTCACTACTTGGATTAAAGGGTTCTTTTTTTTTTAAGATTTTATTTATTTATTTGAGAGAGAGAATGAGAGCGAGTGAGCACGTGAGGCGGGAGGGTCAGAGGGAGAAGCAGACTCCCTGCAGAGCAGGGAGCCCGATGTGGGACTCGATCCCGGGACTCCAGGATCATGACCTGAGCCGAAGGCAGTCGCTTAACCAACTGAGCCGCCCAGGAGCCCCTTGGATTAAAGGGTTCTGAGGCTCTGTCTTTAAAGTGTCTAGTTGGGTCTTGAGTTTTTCTCCATTCTACAACCTCTTCTTTTTATTGGACTTTTTAGTCTAAAGAGGTCATTTCCCTTTTTCGTGTAGCCTTTTAACTGTACTTTGGATTTATTTCGAGGTTGCTCTGGAGATTACAGTAAACACAGTTTTTTACAATCTACTTAGTGTAGCAATAGTCAGTCTAGCACTCCACAGGCACAATTGCAAACTTAGCCTCTAGTCCTCCCATGGGACCACTCTCCACACCCTATACTTTGTAGTTAGATGTGCTGTGTCTGTGAACCTCATGGCCGCCACCAGCGGTGTTGGGATTGCTTGCTTAAAACAGTCATAATGGAATAAAGTCCTCCAGCTCTGTGCTTGGAATCTTTATCCATACTCTTTGATGTTTTCTTTGCATTTTTCTTGTAGATTAGCCTACCATGGCCGACCAGAGACAGCGCTCACTCTCTACCTCTGGGGAATCACTATACCATGTTCTGGGGCTGGACAAGAATGCAACCTCAGATGACATTAAAAAGTCCTATCGGTAAGAGGCCTCATACCTTGTGTGGTTTGATCTGCATTTACCAGGGACCACTTTGTGTGCCCCCCCCTGCCCTGCCCAGTGGACTCTGTAGGTAACTGGGAACCCTTAGGTCCATCTCTGTATGCATAATGTGTTCCCTTACAGCTTAAAATTCTTACACTGGTATTTTCTTGGCAACAAAAAAGTAACACTTTGTAGACAATACACACTGTGTGCCCTGGAGCAGCCAGTCCCACTGGGAAGCGGGTCTGAGCCTGCTCAGCAGATGGGGCTTTACTCCTTTCAACGTCGGGATGACAGGCTCCTCCCAGGAGCCTTCGGAGGGAGCTTATCGACGGCTTCAGGGAATAAGTTGCAGAGACACAAGTCCTCGGTGATCCACACCCTTCAAGCAGCCCTGCTTGGTGTTCTTCCCGTTGTGTACTTACACACACACGAGAGAACAGGCCTTTGCTGCTCACTTTATTTGGCAAAATGTGCAGTTAACCTGCGGGGACACTAGAGGTCAGCAGTAGGGTTTGCCTCTGGGCGGGAGAAGGGTGGGCTGCTGGCCAAGCCGCTGCCTCCGGGGTAGCCCTCACCTGGGGACTCCCTCCTCTGTGGCCAGGTCAGAGCCAGGAGCTTGGCCCGAGATGGCTGCAGAGGTTTCTTCTGATGCTGACATTCTCGAACTCTGTGGGGAGTTGGGAAGGGACCCGTGATGGAGAAGTGTTTCCTGCACCGGGCCCTCCCTCTCGCAGATGAATGTGGAATAAGGGACAAAGAAGTGGTTTTGGTTTGCAGGAAACTTGCCTTGAAATATCACCCTGACAAGAACCCCGATAACCCAGAGGCTGCAGACAAGTTTAAGGAGATCAACAACGCCCACGCTATCCTGACGGACGCCACAAAAAGAAACATCTACGACAAGTACGGCTCGCTGGGGCTCTACGTGGCCGAGCAGTTTGGGGAGGAGAACGTGAACACCTACTTCGTGCTGTCCAGCTGGTGGGCCAAGGTGAGGGGGGCAGGCGGCCCCGTGCCGGCCCCGGTGCCCCGGAGGGTCTCCTGCCGGGTTGTGCTCTGGGTCTTACAGAGTCAGGGCATTGGCTCCGAGGGCCCTTGAGACATGGTGTCCGGGCGCGTGGAGGCGTTTCGCGCCTCGTGCGTTGGCGCGGGCCCCGGTTTCTGCTGCCGGCGGCGCCCCGCTGGCTCGGAAGCCCGTGTGCAGCCGGCCCAGCACCGAGCCGGCCGTGAGTCGTGGGACAGGGGTGGGCGGGGGGCTTCCCCGTCCCGTGGTGGGGAGTTGGCTGTCCTTGTGAGGGAAGACGCGTTTGGACTCCGACGTGAGACACCTGCGCACCGTTTCTTGGTTGTGTTTTTGAGCCTTGCCCCTTGGCCCTGTTGCCCGAGCACGGGTGCGCCGCGGGCGCCCCGCCCCGACGACCGCGATGACCCCTCTTCCCGGAGGCTCAGCGCCCCTCCCTTCCGCGCAGGTGCTGTTTATCGTGTGCGGCGCGCTCAGCTGCTGCTATTGCTGCTGCTGCCTCTGCTGCTGTTTCAACTGCTGCTGCGGCCGCTGCAAGCCGCGCGCGCCCGCCGGCCCCGACCCCGGCGTCTACGTGTCCCCCGAGGACCTGGAGGCGCAGCTGCAGTGCGACGAGCGGGGTGAGTGCCGGCGGCCCCGGGGCGCGGCGGGGCGGGGCGGGCCCTGACCCCTGTCGCCCGTGTCGTCAAACAGGCGGGCACTGACACTGTGCGGGCGTGTCCGTGCCGGCGGCGGGGACTGCGATGCGGACGTGGACACGCGGAGCGAGGAGCGGACGCGGCCCCGCGCGCCCGAGCAGGTGGGGAGGGACCGAGGGCCGGGGGCGACCTGAGGCGACGGAGGAGGCTTGTGCTGGGGGGCGGTCCGCAGGTAGCCTCTCCCCTGCGGCCTCCGACCCCGCGGAGCGGCCGGCGACGGATGGAGAAGGGACGGCGTCGCCGGGGGCCGCGCGCCGCTCTGGGGCCCGGGGACACGGCCGCCGCCCTCACACGACGAGCGAGCGCCGTGTGCTTGCTTTTCAGAGGCCGCAGGCTCGCCGGTCGTCGTACAGCCAGCATCCGCCACAGAGACCACCCAGCTCACGGCCGACTCCCACCCCAGCTACCACACCGACGGGTTCAACTAAATCCAGGAGCAGCTGCGACGGAGGACAGCTCGGCGCCCGGCCACTTCACCCTTAGAACCGCGGAGCGTAGTCCCAGAGATGGGGGGGGGCAGCTGCCGGCCCGCCGGGGCCCTTCCCACCTCTGCGCCCGCCCACCGTCGCCCCCGCCACGGGAAGTGCGTCGCATGCAGTATTTAAAGCAGTTAGCTTCGGTCTTCTTTTCCCTCTTCTTCTGTTTTCTCCTTTTTTAATAGCATGTATGGGGTTATGTTCCATGTCTGTCTGTGTTGTGGACGTGCGGTGGCCTGACCGCGTTAACCAGACAGCCGAGCCTCCTGGGGGCTTTCCACTCGCTGCTCCGACCTCGGCTACGTGGTGCCTCCCAGCCAGGCGGGCTGGGGCAGGAGTGGGGGCTCCTTTCCCCTGTGCTGGTGGGGGCCGGAGGCAGGTGCTGCCCGGCGGGAGCTGTGGGGTGTGACGCCACCCCATGTTCTCCAGCTGTGTGCACACGGGCAGAGCCTCTGGACACGTTGCCAGGAAGGAGCTGCTACACCCTCCCTTTGCCCGGTCCCCTCAGCATTTCCGTGGTGTTGGTTTGTGCGGGTGTGTTTGCCGTGGTTGCTTGGCCTTGTGGCCGGGTTTTTCCCCTGGGTAGGTTTGTTGTGGAAAGTGTGGGAGGCGCTGCTGACCCCAAGACCACGTTTTCTACCTGGGTGCAGCCTCGCTCTCCATGTCACATGGTCCTGTGAGCATGCCCCCTCGCCAGGCTGTGGGAGGTGGTTCTTCCACGCTCCCACACGTCCCCAGGCCACAAGCTGGATTGATGGGGCCACATTCCTCCACCTCCTCTCCCCTTCAGGCACCCTCCACATTCCTTCAGGCCCCCCCTGGCCTTCTGGTGGTCCTTTCTGGACCTCTAAGCACCACAAATGGTAGCAGTGGCCCAATGTGCTGTTGTTAGAGGGGCTGACTGTCCAGGTTGCCAGTGGAGCGTGGCTGAGCAGCCCTGGGAAGCACACGTGGGGAGCACAGCCCCCTTCTCTGTGCTGTCCAGGGCTCCTGCCCACCCCACTGTCCATCGCCTGTGCCCTTCAGTCACCGTTGATGGTTCAGGCAGAGCTAGAGACGCCAGGTTCCTGGAGGGAGGACCAGCTGGACCAAAGGCACAGCCTGGTGCCCTTGGCTTGTGAGCCTGCAGCCTGACCGTGGAGCCCCCCACTCACCGTTGTCTTGAGCAGCACCTTCTGTGAACTGTTGGAAGTCAAGTCTTTCTTGTTTGTGTCCCAGAACTTGTGGGTGGTGGCCCTGCTACGGGAGACAAGGAAACGGGTTATGATGTGCCCGCGCTGGCCCAGAGTTCACGGTGGCCCCCACACCCCCAGCAGCCCTGGATGTGCTGTGGCTCCCTGCTGGACCTGCACTGGTCACCGGAGACCCAAGTGGTTTCCGCGGAGGGAAGCAGCATTCCGCTGCTGAATGTCTCCTGCGTGTCCAGTAGGTGAAGAACAAGGAGGCGATGTCGGCCTAGACGTACCAGAACATGTTCCTGATGCCCACGGTTTCCACCACCACCTGCCCCCCACCCCGCGCACCTGCTGGGCCTCGGCCCTTGTCTGCCCACCCACAGCTGTGCCGAGAGCAGGTTCTTGTTGGCCTGAAAGGGGCCGGAGGGGCAGCAGTGTCCGTGCAGAACGTGGACAGGCTCTGAGTGCAGTGCTGGCTGAGGCCTGCTCTGGCCAGGCTGGTGCAGTCGCAGGCGCTCCCAGGTCCTTGGGCAGGTGTTTGGTCCCCCCCCCCTTTTTTTTTTTTTTGGTTTTTGGTTTTCATTAAAATGATCATGAAGACATTCAGTGAGAGGAAAAATATGCACTGTGATCTTAAATTAGAAATAATTTGCTAAAATCAGACATCATGAAAGGTTAAGAAATCCATTGACACCACCCCCTCCAGGCACAAGGGAGAGGTTAGACCACAGGGCCGACTTCTGTGCCATCCCAACACAGCAACGGGAACGCAGCCTTTGTGATGTTCCTGAAAATTACCTTCTGAGCTGTTTTTCGCTGGAATGGTCAAGAACCAAGTTCAAAGCTGGGACTTCAGGTAGCAAGCCTCCCCCTCTGTGGGGACTACTGCAGCTCCGTGGTCAGGAAACCTCAAGGCCCACCACACATGTCCAAGCAAGTCCTTGATGGGCGTCTTCCACTTGACAGAACGTGAAGCTCCGCTGGGGACCAGGGTGCTGGGAGAGGGGCAGGTCTGGAAGGTGGTTGAACCCAGGCTCCTGTAGAATTTGTAAAAACTAAATAAATCATGACAGTGATGATAATCCTTAAGATGGTGGTAATGATTGCCTAAGGCCCAGGGACCCCAGGATCCAGACGGGGGCCTAGAACTCTCCCTGCCTGGCCCCGAAGGCATTTCCACCTGGTGGTTCCCAAGCGGAGCCCCTTCCAAAGGCGGCTGTACTCAACTGTCCGTCCTGGTTGCGTTTCCCTTTTTCTTGAGTGGCCTGTGTATTTCCCTGGTGAGCAGAGTTGCTGAGTCTGGAGTCATGCCCCGTTCACCGGCCATGTGGGGGTGGCCCCCCTGTCCACCGTGCAGCAGTGAGAGCACCCGGGCCCTCCCTCAGGCTGCCCGGAGGTGGGGCCATGTGCGGCCAGGGAGTGCTGAAGCCCGTCCCTTGTCACAAAGTGCGGGGCTCGCCCCGGGGGGCCCCAGAGCAGCCGGTGGCCGGCAGGAAGCACGGGAGGGCCCTGCGGGGTGTCTGCTGCCGTGTACATTTCTGTTCCTGCTCAGTGATGTGGTTGGTCTTCTCTCGTCTTCCCTTTGGCTTTCTTCTATTTTCAAACTGCTTTAGATAATACTGCTCAGTGTGTGTGAGCCTTCCTAGTTCCCCGGTCAGTGCCGCGGGGGAAGAAGCCGCAGTGTGCTGTGCTTAGAGCAGGTGGCCTCTCCACACTTTGGGCCACCCGGCGTGGCCACGAGGCTCCTGCTCGGGGAAAGGTCGTGTCAGGACTGTCGCTGTGCGTTCTGACTGTAGGTGGGCCAATCGGGTGAGCTCGTGCTGGTGGAGTGCCCACTGGTGCAGCTGTTGGTCTGGGGAGACACGTGGCCTCCCAGCACCTGGCCCTTGGGGTTGAGGCCGCCAGCAAGTGGGGTGGGTGCCGGCACGCCGACAGAGCTCGGGGGCCCTGCCTGTCCTTTCCTGGCTCTCAGCGTAGCCCCGCGGAGGGACGGGTGTATGGAGAGAGCGGCTGATCTCCTTCCTTTCTCAACATGCTGATCTGTGAGCCCATGTGACACAGGACCACCCTGTTTGTTTTTGTTACTTTGGTCGTGAATCCTCCTGTGCAATTGGCAGAAGCTACATTTATACTGCCCTCGCAAGCACAGTTGGCATTGTCTGTGCTGTAGTTGTGGGCAGTGGCTGTCCCTCTGTGTGTGTATGTACGTACGTGTATACCCCACAGCCGGTGTGCCTGTTGCTGTCCAGCAGTCTGCTCCAGGACAGCCTTGGGTTTCTTGGTGAGTCGGGTCGAGAACAGGGTCTTGGCGGCAGGCTCCTTTGCCAGGCGCGTAGAAGTAAATGCTGACCCTGGTGTGCGCGTAGGATTTGTGTGGACGGCTGGCGGTGGTGCCTGCGTGCACTGGGGTGACCGCCTGCTGCCAGCAGCACCTTCTTCGGGGAAGGGTGCCGGGGCCACCGAGGGGCGACTGTCCCAAGTGCCACGCTCGTCCCTGGGGGCCCACCCGGCATGCTCACCTGACCTCCAGGGGGGTGTCCTTTTGTGACATCTAGGTGGCTGGAAACCCTTCCCTCCCTTGAAACATTAAAACCAATTTTCTGAGCATCAGAAAGGTCATGACAAAGGGCATTCTAAAGGGGACTCTGTCCTGACTGCAGGTCTGCCTTGGGAGGGGTCCATTGGGAAGGAGGGGCCACAGAATGCCATCCTGCAGGAAGGGGCTGGGTTCGGGGGCCTTGTGGTAGATTTTGTTTCCCTTGAAAATGGGACAGTGTTTCAAGCTAAGTGAGGAGAGGCAGTTTACACTGAAATAAATTGTGTGTGTGTGTGTGTGTGCGCGCGCACGCGTATACACACACACACACACATTTTAAAATACTAAATGCAAATGCATGGCAAGCAACTGTCCGTGCGTGCTGGTTTCTGGTTTCATCCTGTTGCTGGAATCCCGCAGCGCTAGGTGGGTGTACCTCTGACCCCGACTCCCATGTGCACCCCTGAGGGCCAGGCTGGAGGGTTAGGGTGGTTCCTTGGTGATCTCCATCTCGTATGTCTGAATGTTGACCTTAAGATAAAGATAACTGTTGTAAAATAAATGTTTTCACTGCAAACCAGGCATGTGTCTCGTTCAGTGACCCCTGCAGAGTCCTTTTGAAATGGGGGGGGGGTTGTGCTCAGAGGGGCAGGGGTCTCACTCCCGCCTGCCTGGCCCAGGTGTGGACAAACGCCCCTCCTAGGTTCTCTTTTCACCTCCATCACCTAAACACCCCAAGTGGAGGGGCGCCTGGGTGGCTCAGTTGGTTAAGCATCTGCCTTCGGTTCAGGTCACGATCCCAGGACCTCCCAGGGTCCTGGGATCGAGCCCCTCATCGGGCTCCTTGCTCGGCAGGAAGTCTGCTTCTCTCTCTCCCACTCCCCCTGCTTGTGTCTCTCTCTGTCAAATAAATGAAATCTTAAAAAAATAATAGTAACCCCAAGTGGAGTGAGGAAAGCGTCCTGTAAGCCCGGGGTGCTTGGACTGTGGGTTCTGCAGCCCTCCCGGGACGTGTCCTTGCTTCCGCTCCCCTCCTCCTGTCCACCTCAGCCCGCAGCCATCCCTGCCGCCCACACAGGCATCACCTTTCATCCTCCTGCATGAAATAAGGCCGCCAGGCTGCAGGGGTCTGGGACAGCACGCCGGCCTGAGCCCTCAGCTATGCGGCAGGCCTGTCCTCGGCTGGTAGCACAAGGTAGACGAAGGGTGACGGCGGGGTCCCTCACACCTGGGCCTGTACTCCATGCCGAGCCTTGTCCACCCTGTGGAGGCGGGCTTCCAGGGGTTGTCCCACTGCCTGCTCCACCCAGGGCATCAGTGTGGGGTACACTCGTGTCGTGGCTGGACACGACTGTCATGTCTGCCTGGGTCACATCCATGCCAGCGATGAGCCAGGACTGCATCCCAGCATCTCCCTGGGAGGGCCCGATGGGAGGATGGTCCTGACTCCCAGGGGTTCTGAGAGCCGAGCAGGGCCTGGCTGGGGACTCTGTGCAGCTCACAGCCGGCGGTTTCTGGCCCCACTGAAACCACTTCTGTGCCTCTCTTTTCTCTTCCCTGAGATAAATGTCTAGTCGTGGACTCTTGTAGGAAATGCTGTCCCTGCCTCACGGCATGTGTGTCCCTGGGGGTTCTGCACACATTGGGGTGGGTGGGGACCCTGGCCTTAGGTGGGGGAGGGCACTAGACCCCAGGGGCCCCGTGGGTGTGGCCACGTGGCCCAGGCCACAGGTGCCACCTTCCACACTGTTTCAGCGACTGTGCCAGGCGCTCTCATGCCTGGGACCCCCTGGGGTCAGGGTGCTCGGTCTTCAGTTCCCTTGACTGAACTCAGGGCAAGGCAGAAATAGTTTGAAAAAAAGCAGCATAAAAGTACTAAGGACGATGTAACAAGCACTTTGAAGGAAACCCTTCCTCTAGGACATAGAGGGTTAGGGTTAGGGTTAGGAACTAGTGTGACTGGATCTTCCATGAAGGAGAGAATGGCCCTCAGTGAAGACCTGTGAGTCCCTCCCCTACCCAGTGTCCCCTCCGGCCTGCCGGTGCCAGCATCCACAGATCCTGTTTCTTTTTTTTTTTTTTTTAAGATTTTTTATTTATTTATTTGACAGAGAGAGACACAGAGAGAGAGGGTACACAAGCGGGGGTAGTGGGAGGGAGAGAAGCAGGCTTCCCACGGAGCAGGGAGCCCGATGCGGGGCTCGATCCCAGGACCCTGGGATCATGACCTGAGCTGAAGGCAGACGCTTAACGACTGAGCCACCCAGGTGCCCCCACAGATCCTGTTTCATTCCTGATTGTACCGATCTCTAAAGTCTCGCATAGAGAGTACTACACTGTACTGGGTCAGTCTGCATTTTCATTCAGTGTAGGTTTTTCCAAGCAGCCACCCCCCATCTAGGTCTAGTTTATTTGGCTGCTCGTTGAGGACCTGGGTTTTCAGTTCTTTGCCACTGACTAGGGCCGGGCTGCCGGGGGGTGTCCCCAGGGCACGGGCGCCCCCCCGACTGCCTTGGTGGCTGCGCTGTCCACAGAGCGGGAAGGCCCCTCCCCTCCTCCTCAGGCTTCTCAGACCTTGTTCTCTGTGGGAATCTCACAGGGAAATCAGAACTAACACCAAGCCTTAATTAATGATGGGCATTCAAGGTGGTGGGCGGCGGGACCTCGCTCCTCCCCCAGACCCAGGGCCCCAACACCTGTACCCCTGATCTAGGGGACCGTGGGCGGGGGGCTGAGTGGCACTCCGGGGAGATTCCCGAAGTCCACGCCCCCACGGCCAGTCCGGGAACTCTGGGCTCCTGGCGGAGGTCATGGTCGCCATGTGCGGACGTGGGTCCTAGGGGCGCGGCCCTCTCCCGCTCCCCACCGCCCGCGAGGAGGGCGACCAGGAAACGGCAAGCCACGCGGGGCAGGTGTTGGGGCGCGGGGGGCGTGGCCACCAGGAGAGGTGGGGGACTTGCCCGCCGCCCCGACCCCCCGTCACCATTTGAAAGCACTTACGACACAAGCTAGAGGGGGCGCACGGGGCGCGGCGGGGGCAGGGGTCTTGGGGCCCAGGGCGCCAAGGCCATGCGCGGACTTCCTCTGGCTCAACACGGCCATGCCTGCCACTCCTCCGCAGACCCTCGCGCGGCCCCGGGGGCTCCCGGCGCGAGACCAACGCGGGCAGGACGCGGGGGGCGGGCCGCCGGGTCTGGAGGCGTCCCCGGCCCCGAGCCGGAGGGGAAGGCCCCGGCGGGAAGGCCCCGCCAAGTCGCGGACACCGGGCTCTCTCTTGCTTCAGAGGGACCCTCTGCTCCTACTCAGACCCTGCTCAGCACCCCGGTCCCCCCGCCCTCTCCGCACAACTCCCGTGGTCTCCGAGGCCGCGGCCCCCTCCACCCCCGTCCGCTCGCCCCCACGCGGGCCCCTCTCCGTCCAGGCCCGTGGTCCGGGGCCGGCCGTGTCGTGGTCGGGGCGCTCTCTCGAGAGGCGGCTCCGCCCGCGCGGGGACTCAGGGACGCAGCTGGGGGGCGCAGTGGAGGGCGGGGGCGAGCCGGGAGGGGCGGGGCCGGCGCTAGCTCCACCCCGTCCACGCGACGCTGGGGCGGATCTTGGGCCCCCGCTGGAAGCAGGGTGGTGACCAGAGGATCCTGGGGACCCGCGCTCGGAGCCAGGCCCACCGGCCCGCAAGCCGACCCCGGATGTGTCGCTCGTGAAGTCGGTGTAGCGCCCACCCCAGCCCTTCCTCTGGCCCCAGCCTGTGGCGGTCGAAGAGTGGGTCCCCGTGCACCTCCGTGTGCGAATTACACCATTCTTGCTCTTCTAACCCAAGCCTACCCCAAATCCACCCGCTCACCCCTGCCCTGCCCCTTCGTACCTCTGAATCTCCTGCTCAGACCAAACCCCCAGCTCCACCTTGGTGAGCCCGAAAGTCCCCAGCCTTCTGTGTTGTCTCTGACCGCCTCCTGCCCTCTTCCCAGGATTCACCCTGAAGCACTTGGGGCCCAGGAATCCGGGCATCTTCCAGGATGCGTCCAGGCTCCAGGCGGCCCCCGTTGAGGCCCCAGGCGGGGTGGAGTCTTTCCCCAGGCCACGCCAGCCCCCAGCCCCTGCTGATGGCAGTCGGCTTGACCTGCTTCACTCAGCGTGACAACCATATGTGCCCAGCGCTGGGTCTGGGGCCCCATCTCCTGGCCGGGGCGCGCCCGAGCTTCCCTTCCTGCCTTATGGCAGCCGCTGCTGGGGAAAGGGGTAGCACCTCACAGGCTGACGAACCTGAGATTGACCCTGGAGACACCATTCTCAGGCTGGACAGTCCTGGAGGCACTGCCCAGGGACGGTGGGCGAAGCCCTCAGCAGGCCGGTGCATCATGGGAGCTTCTGGACTAGTGTATGGGGTGGTCTGCACCCCCCCTCCCCCTATCAAGCTCTGACCATATGTCCAAGCTGTAGCTGCATCTTCCCAGCTCCCCTCAACTTCCCCCCCAGGCGCCTGCCCCGCCCCTCCCCCCAGCCTCTGCTGGGCCCCAGAGGAGCCCAGATGCCCAGAAAGGCAGCCCAAGGGCCACCTGGCTCCCAAACCCCAGTCAGTCCACCAGAGAGTTTCCTAGGGATGGGCTTGTCCATCCCTGGAGAGAGCCTTCTCCCCAGACTGGAATCCCTTGATGTACCCAGTAAGAGGTGTTGAGTGTTACCCCAGGAGAGTCTTGGATCTCGGTTCTGGTCCTCTCTCTGGGAGTAGGAGGCTCCCAGGGGCTGGAGGCATTGCTCCCTTTCATCGGCATCCTGAAGAACCTCCCCCTGTGCTGTTTGGAAAGTGACCCACTTCTACCACCGCCACTGGGGCCTGGCAGGAAATGGGTTCAAGAAGTCCCCTAGCCTGTGGCCTAACCTCCCCAAGCTGCCTTGGATGAGCGGACCACAGCCTGAGGGGGCAGATCCTCTGGTTCAGGCCACCTGCCTCCCAATTCTGCCCTAAGCCCCCAGTGTTGTCCTCTCCCAGGGGCTGGAGGCCGAGTTGGGTGGGGGCAGCTGGGCCCTTTCCTTTCAGCCGCATCTGTGTGCCATAGCACGTGAGATGTGTGTGTGTGGTGTTGATACATGCATGTGCATGTGTGGGTTTGGTCTATCTCGGGGAGCTGGTCAGCGCCTAGCTGGACTCTGGGGAGGCCTCCAGGGAATGACCTAGCCCCTCCCTGGCCCCTGATTAACTGTCCCTTATCTGGGAAGACCTGGCTTGACAGAAAGGCATCTTCCCAGCCTCAGGGCCCCAGCACCCCTGCTAAGCAGGGCCCAGCCGGGTTCCCAGCACACAGCACGAGAAGGGCAGAGTGAGTGAGTGGGGGCTCTGGAACATGGGAGAGGAGTCCACTCACCAGCTTGGGCAGGAGAAGCTCCTCCTGCTGACCTCTGGGCCCTGTGTTGATTCTCTGCCCCTGGTGTCTGGCCACCCCTTGGACAAGCCTCCTGCCTTTATCTGCCTGCCCTTGGCCTGGCCCCCACCCAGTGACTTCCTGTCCCCGCCCCCACAACAGGTTTTTCCATGACATATGGCCTTTGGTGGTGGGGGGGGACCAAGGAGACCAGGAGGGCAGGAAAGAGGCAAGACACAGGTCGGGACAACAGAGGGGTAGGGAGACTGGGGGTGCCTGACAGCCCATCCCCAGCAGTCCAGAGGTCGGCCTACCCTACCCAGGCAGGCCTGCCAGACAGGCTGTCTGGAGGGAGCCAGAGAAGCCTGCCTTTGTCCTTGAGCCCAGAAGCAATGAAGACAGGGCTAGAGGTGGGTTTCCGGCCCTGAACAGCATGGCTGGCCCACGGCAGCTGTGTGGCCATCTCCCCTGCAAGTGGGGCTCTTGCCAGTGGTAGGGACCAAGGCTTCACTCCCTCCTACAGCCGCCCACACACTGATTTCCGCTGGGTTCCCCGACAGTACAAACGCGTGGTGGGGGCGGGGGTGGTGGATGGCTGCAGAGGCTCCCTCTTGAGATCCAGAGTCCTAGGTCCAGGCCAGGGGGCCGCCAAGGGGCCCACCTAGCAGAGCCAGGAGCTGTGGGCCCCAGCTCTGTTCCCCTAAATCTGACACTGCCCCTGGACTGTAGGGAAAGCCCAGTGCGGGACTAGGAATGCCTGTTCTGCCGCTCATCAGGCGAGGTTCTGACCAGGCTCCTCAACTCCCCTCCTCCCTATGGTGCCCTGCAGCCTGGGGGCGGGGGCTACTCCTCAGGCCCAGGTCCCGGGCAGGACAGCACCCGAGGGCCCCCCGCTAACCAGGCACGGCTTCATTTTCCCAAACTTTATTGTATAAAACGTACAGAGTAAGTTACAGTGGTCATATCCTTTTTAATTAAAATAAGTTAGGACTTGTCTGTGAGCAAGGCCATGAGGCAGGAAGAGGCGGGGTGGTGCTAAGAGCAGGCAGGCTCAGGGCGGGCAGCTAGCTCGTGGAGGCCACTTCCTCCTCATCACTGCCGTCAGGCGCCGCGTCCGTCCCGAAGTAGCGGTCACCGAAGTTACCTGGGGCAAGAAGCAGGCCCTTGTGGTGGGGACTCAGGCCCACCAGGCCCTGGGGCTCCACTGGTCAGCCCCGGGTCAGCCTCACCAATGCCGGGGATGATGCGGAACAGGTCGTTGACGCGCTTGTCCACCGCCGTGGTGATGATCCTCACTCGTGGGAAGGCGTAGGCCACCGAGTGAACGCCCATCTCGGCCATGAGCAGCGACAGCAGGAAGATCTTGTCTTCCGGAACATCATGGTCCTGCGCCGTAAGGGGCCAGTGTCTCCCCACCCGGGCCCGCCGCGCAGCCCCCCGCGCGCAGCCCCCCGCGCGCAGCCCCCCGCCGGCACGCACCAGGAGCACACGCACAGCCATCATGGCCGCCGCGCCCGTGGACACCGTGCAGTCCATCAGGATCACGTGGTCGTCACTGATATCCTTGGGCAGCCGCAGGTAGTGGAGCTGACAGGAGCCAGAGTCAGAGCCAGCCCAAACCTGGAGCTGCCCTCCGGGCTCCCGCTCCCGCCCCTCGGGCGACCCCGCTGCCCGCTTCCCCGCCCTGATGTCCCTCCCCCAGGCCCCCCAGACTCCCTCAGCCCCTGCCCTCCAGGCCCGCTCCCCCCACCCCCGCCACACCTCGGGCTCCCCGGTGAGCTGGTTGGTCTGGATGAGGATGGTGCCAATGCGCACGTCTTTGCACACAGCCCGCAGCGCCGGCTCCATAGTCTCACCCGCGCGCAGGATGGACACGCCAGTGATCTGCGGGCCCGGAGGTAGGGGGAGAGGAGCCGGCCGGACCTCCCACCTCCCGGGCCGCCCCAGCCCCGGCCCCCGGGCTGCGCCCCAGCTGGTACCTGCTTCCCCGCATAGCACTTGCCCGCGTAGTCCTGCCCCTGCGGGGTCTGCACGACGCAGTCCTGCGCACAGAGGGCGTGAGGGCGCTCGTGAGCACGGGGAGCCGCGCCCCGCCCGTCCCAGATACCCGCCCCACACCCCGCTCCGCACCTGGAAGGGCAGGAAGGAGAGCGCGTGCTCAATGAGCAGCCGCATCAGCCTCTTGGAGTAGAAGATGAATTCATCACGGCTGGTCTCCTTGTCCCTGCGGACCGGTTGGGTTAAGCAGACGTGTGGGCCGCCAGGGGCCCCCTCGCCTCACATAAGGGCCCTCACCTGATGATGGTGTGCATGCCCCGCACCTGCGGCGTGCTCTTGAGAACACTCAACGTTCGCGGCAGGGGGTGGCACTGATGCGCCGAGGCCAGCGCGGCCCTGGGAACACAAACCGATTGGGGTGTCTTCTCCCAGAGCCCTATCCTCCCACTCCGGACACTGTGTGGGGGCGCATGTGATGGGGACAATGAGCTGTGCAGGTGGGGGCCGCCGCCTCCCTGTGGCTGATCTGGAGGGAGGGCCCCAACCCCCGAATACTCCCATCAGGCGAAGGTTGGGCAGAGCAGCTGACCATCAGGTGGGAAAGGGAGGGGCTGTGGTGTGAGCCTCCCCTCCCAGCCCAGAACCCTCCTGCGCTTGCACGGAGAAAGCAAAAGGGGGACCAGGCAGCGGGAGGGCAAAGGAATCTCAGCCCCCAGGATGGGCAACTGGTCCTCAATCCCAGAACATGTCTCTCTGGGGAACAGCTGAACTTCAGAGCCAAGTCTCGCCCTGACCCTTCCCTCCAGGTGATGGATGCACGGCTCCCCCCTCGGGAGACGCGGGCAAATCTGGCTCAGGGCCAGCCCTGCTGCACCATGCCCGGGGTGGGGAAAGGAGCAGGGGGCGGGAAGGGGCGGAGCAGAGGGGGCGGGGAGGGGCAGGGGCGTGCGGGAGCAGCACCCCCCGCCCCCCCCCGCCCCCCGCACACAGCGGACACCGCAGCACCACAACCAGCGCGCACTCTGTCCTCACATATCCCAGCGCAGCTTCCTCTGCTCGCCAGGTGAAGAGTGTGTTCAGGGAGGGTACAGGGCAGGAAACCCAAGGGTTTACAAAGAGGAGGAAAAGAACAAAGAGAAAAAGACCATTTAGCAAGGGAGCGAGTCCCCGCGGCCACCAGCTGGCCTGAGAGAGAGAAAAGGCAGGTGGCAGGGCGACAGGGAGACCCGGGGAGGCTTGGCCCACACCCTGCTGCCGGGCCCCGCTTCCTGCCCACCAGTCACCACTTCCTTGGCTGGCCAGAGAAGGGGAAATAGCCGGCTGCATTTAGGCGTTTTTTTTTTTTTCCCCAAGTTTGAAACTTGATTCTCACGACAAAGGCTTCCAGGGGGCCCGGCAGGGCAAGACCTGCAGTTGCCTTGGTCTGGATGAGAGCCAAGTGGTGACTCGTGCGAGGGCGGCACGCTGCAGGGGCCATTCCCAACGCAGCAGCTTCGGGGCTCCCAAGTGTGAATTGGGGGCGCTCCTGGTGCTCCCCGATTCCACAGAAAGCCTGGGCTAAAGGCAGGTCATTCATGCTGGGGACTGTGGGGGATGGTGCTTCATCGGCTCTCCCCTGGTGCGTTCAGAGGCCCTCCTGGCTCTCTCTCTGCCCTGGGTCCAGGGCCAGAGCGGCCGTCTGGGGGCATCCAGACTGGACCCTCAGATCAGGCAGAGGACCCTCTGGCTGCTGAGAGATATGCCTGTGACCACTGACCTAGGGGGCCCAGCAGTGCTGGCTCAGGACAGCTGTGCCCTCTGGCATCAGACCCCATGCAACCAGCCCCATGTCGGGGAGAGGCCTCCAGAGAGGTCTGACCAGCATAGAGTCAGGGCACTGTGTGATCCTGGGCAAGTTCCTTAACCTCTCTGGGCCTGAGTTTCCTCATCTGCCAGCAAAGACAGACAAAAGCAGTGTGGGGGCCACCACACCATCCTTTCTGCACCTGGGCCAGGGCTGCCATCAGGGATGGGCATGACAGGAGAGGACCCCCCCCACCTGCCCAGGTGACAACCCAAATTCCGCGCTGCCTGTGGATGTTGGAAGTGCCTCCGTCTGTGCAGACAGGCGTGGGAAATCTTACCTGACACTGAGCTCACGCTGCAGCGGCAACACAGGGAAACACAAGGGAATGGGGTGGCGTGTCAGTGGTGGTGGCACTGCTCACCTCGCAGTCACCGGACAGCACGGCCCATTGCCACCGTGCACCTCGGCCCGCCGGGCCACCCCCACCCGGGAACGGACCTGCCACAGTCCCAAGGGACAGTCCCAGGTGGCTGCCAACCACGGGAGGGAGCCAGCTCTTATGGCCCGTGACCTGGGCACTCTCTGGACCGGGCACAAAGAACCAGGGCTTCTGAGGCTCCATTCCTCAGACCTCGGGCCTCCAGCACCCCATCCTGAAGCCTGCCCAGAGTGGCAGTGCCCTTAGCCGGCCCAGGGCATGTAACCAGGTTGGGACATCCCTCCTGCAGTGCTCAGGATGTGGGACCCTGCACTAAAACCCAATAGTTTGGGAGGGACACTCAAGGCCCAGCTCAGGCTGGGAGTACCAGAAGGCACCTCCGCACCCCACGTTTTCTCAGGGAACCAGCTGCCTCTGGCCGGCACAGGGACATTGGAAGGCCAGAACATGGCAGGGACATGAACACACGGGGGCTGCAGAGCAGGCCTCTGACAGTGGCAGCGGGGGAGTAGGGCCTGGGGCTGGGGGCGCTGCAGGGACCCCGGACCCTAGTCCAGCTGGCTCACCTCCTCCAGCTGGCTGTGCATGTGCTGCACGATCAAGTCGATGGCCACCGTGTTCCCACTCCCTGGGACGGGACAGGTAAGGAGGGTCACATGAGGTCCCAAGGCCCCTTCTGCCCACATTCCCAATGGCAGGTGGGTCTGCAGGCTCACCCCAGGGCACCACGATGTCTGCCACGCGCATAGTGGGCTGGATGTACTGGTCGAAGGCAGGTTTGACAAACTTGTTGTATTGCTTGATGACACCCTCGATGTCTCGGCCTCGCTCGCTGATGTCCCGACGCAGCCGCCGCACAAGGCGGATGTCAGAGTCCGTGTCCACAAAGATCTTCATGTCCAGGAGCTGGATGGGGAGAGCGAGGCGCTGAGCGGGGCCGGTGTGGGTGACCTGGGGACCAGCTCCTGCAAAGACTTCTGGCCCGGGAGCAAACCAGGCCCTTGGGGCACCTTGCAGGTCCGGCTGGCAGTGTGCATGGGTGTGGGGAAACGTAGGGGGGCGTGTACATGGTGAGTGGGGGGCACTATCCACCAGAGGCTTCAGTCAGAGGGCACCGGACAGACCCTGGCTGCAGAGGCAGGATGGAACTGGTACCATTACTGCGGGTTGTCAGCTATCTGTGTGCCCTCACACATGTCAGGGGAACGGGGGACATGTCTCCTCCCCACCATACCCCCCACCACAGTGCTTGGGTTTGGTGAGTTCAGGTCTGGCCTAAAGGGGCTGTTGGGGGGCTAGGTACTGCTGCATGGTGGGCAACAGGGTTCCCTGAGCCTGAGCCCAAACTCACTGGCCTCAGAACTACAAGGAACAAGAACCAGAGCACAGGCCTCCCTCATGGCCCTCAGCGGCAGCAGGAAGAAAACCCACATACAGCAGGGCCTGGCGGGAAGGACACAGCTGTGCATGCCTCCCAGGGGTCGGACAGCACAGACACAGGCCATCTCCATCCCAGGCAAGAGCACGCACGCGTGAACCAGCACGCACTACCCCAACCAAGGTCACTCTGACCTCAGTGACTGCATGGGCTCCAGAGAGCAGCAGAGGAAACACAGACAAGAAAGTGAGCAAGCATTAAGAAGAGAATGTCAAGGCACTGACCCAGGGCTTGCACCCACACCTGGGAGTGAGCCCCTCCTCAGGCTGCCTCCCCCACCAAGGGCATTCCCATTCTCTCTGTGGGAGTGGGGGGTCTGTTCCACCCAATGTCCTTGACCCACTCTCCGGACAGCAGCCATTCTCCACCCAACGCCCGGTGACTGCACCACCGGGGTGACACAGGTGACCACGTACCACGGGGACAGAGAGAGTGGCTTGGCCTGCTTGGAGGAAGCAAGTTTAAGGTCAGAACCACAGGAGAAGCAGGGAGATGAGCAGGGATGGGCATTCCCAGCAGGACCGTCAGCCTTGAGCCCTGCCCTCACCTCCAGCAAAGTCTTGTCAGCAAAGGCCATGATGCCCTCGAAGATGATGACGTTTGCACCGTAGAGTGTTTTCTGCAGAGGAGTTGTGCAGCCGGTCACCTGCCATGCCTGCCCCGTTCCCAGGCAGGCACGCACAGCCCGAGCCCACGAGGCCTACCCAGTCCTTCTTCCGGCTGTGGGTGGTGAAGTCGTAGACAGGCACCTTGACACTCTTGCCCTGTTTCAGCTTCTTGAGGGTGGACACGATGAGGTCAAAGTCGAAGGCGTCTGGATGGTCGAAGTTGAAGTTGTTGTGGGCAGCCTGCTCCTGTTGCTGCGTGGTCAGCACCTGTGGGGGGAGGCGCCAGGGGCTCCATGGGCCCCTCCACACAATGCCGGGGCCGGGGGCGGGGGCAGGGCCAGGGGCATCCAGGCCCTCCGCAGACGTGGCCTGCATGGGCCGGCATGCTCCTCACCTTGTAGAAGGAGTCCATGGACAGCAAGACCACCCAGGGCACGTCCAGGGCCTCGATGATCATCCTGGCCACAGTTGTCTTCCCAGAGGCGCTGCCACCTCCCAGACCTGCGGAAGGGGGCAGCGTGACCCTGGGCAAGAGCAGCAGGGCCAGCCCTCCAGCCTGGCTCCAGGGGGGGCCCCCCCCGCGCAACACTCTGCCTGCAGCTCCCCTCCCCCCCAGGCTTGACAGCCCAAGGGGCCCGAGGCAGCTCACATCAGTGGCAGTGCCACTCGGGGGTTCGACGGCAGGTCCTGCCTTGCTCACCGATGGCGAAGGCCTCCTTGGACTGTGTGCCGTGCTCATTATACCAGGGCGGGCGCCCGGCTGTGTAGATGGTGCGCTTGCTGGTGCGCAGCAGGGGCGGCTCAGACTTGCACTGGCTGGTGGTGCGCTTCCGGGGTGAGCGCCCGGTGCCCACAGGTGGGAGGAGCCTGTCCAAGGATTCCGCATTGCTGCTGCAGAGAAGGACACGCCTGCCTCTGCCCAGGGCCACCAGCCACCCTGCCATCCTGTGTCAGGCCTGGCATGGCCGGCCACGGGGTCCACCCCCCACGCAGGCACACGGGCACCGCCAAGCTAGGCAGATCCAATTGGGGGGCACACGAAAGCCGCCTGCAGCCCACCCACAGGGCTCCTGGCCTTGAACTGTCACTGCCCACACACGTTCAGAGGGACAGCAAACAGCATTAGGGGAAATGAAGAGTGCCATCCTGGGCCTGGCCCGTCCCCTCAGATGAGAGGGGGGCACAGCAGGGCAATCAGGACCCCATCAAGGACCATGTTCCCTCCCACGACACTCTCTGTAAGATCCAATCCCTGCCACCCTGAGGGGCACATGGGGAGGGGGGTTCCCGGACAGAGAGGCTGCTGACAGGAAAGCTGAGCGGGCTGGCAGAGGGGACGGGTGCAGGGGGGAGTCCCTGGGCTTGGAGGCCCGCAGGGCAGCCCTTGCTTCTTGCCGTCCAGCACACTGCAGACCGAGAAGGCAGGAGACCCCAGGAGCCGCAGGCCAGAAAACCCAACCTGGGGGAGGCACGGACAGCATCTGTGCCCTACTCCAGCCGGTGCTGTGCCCCCCGTGCCTGGTGACATGCTGGCTTCCCCGTGGGCTCATAAAGGGCACAGTGTGACTGCTGGCCCAACGCCTCGAATCCCAGCAGTGAGAGCTCTGGGGAGGCTCCACTTGGCTGGGCGGTAGTGTGTGCTGACGGGCTGGGTCACAAAAGCCTGGCGCAAAGACGGCCGCAGGGCCAGGACAAGCTCGGGGAAGAGAGGGGCCGGGCTGGCCAAACTATCACCTGCTCCAGAGGCCTCCAGGCCAGTGGTGGCCACCGCCGCTGCTGACTGTCCGGGCAGAGCCCCTGGTGTGTGGGAGGAACGTGCAGGAAGTCATGCAGACGTACTGGGCAAGTCAGGCCTTGCAGGATGCCGCCTGCAGCACTGGCTTGTGCACCCCTGGTCTGGGACCCCAGGGATGCACACTGCTCACCGTACTAGCATGAAAGCCTGGGAAGGACACAGACAGGGAAGGTGTCCTGAAGTCCGCTTAGCTGAGAAAGCCAACTGCGGTAGAACGTGAACCCGTGTCTATAAACCCAGCAAAGGGAGAGCGCTCACCTGCACACACCTTTGTGTGAATACATGTGAGCAAAACGGGATGCACAGAGAAAGATACAGACCTGCCAAGACTGCCCTGGGGACCAGGATCTGGGGCTCCTGCCACACTAAACATCTTAAGCACAGACCAAGCCCACTACCACTGCCACCCCCCGCCCCCCGAGCAGTGCGAGGCCACGGGGTGCCAGGAATCCGGCTGGCGAGGGCCATGAGAGTGCCTTCCTGCGTCTGGAACAGCCTGGGCATCTCCACCTCGGGAACGCTGGTGTTCCCAGCTGTGCAGTCCTCCCATAGCACCTGGTGTTGCCAAGAGCCAGAAGGACGGTGTGCCTGTATGTTTGGGGGTCGGAGGCAGTGGAAGAAATCCACTAAAGCCAAAGGCGGGACAGGTCACACCAGTAGCACCTGAGAGCCCTGAGGACAGCCACAGCACAAGTCCTAGCAGTAAGAAACCAGCCATCGCAGGGCAGGGGCCACGTGGCACCATCCTGGGGGACAGGCAACACACGGCTGCCACGGCTCCTCGTTGTCAGGACAGCACAAGGAGCCAGCAGTGGAGGTAATTAGCCAGTCTATGTGCTCGGTGTCACCTCTGCAGCTCTGGAGACAGGCACTGCCACCCAACAGTCAGGGTGTGGGGGACTCTGCCCAGCCTGGAGCTATCCCAGGCATGCCGCCCACATTCCCGCTCCGGCAAGCCAGAGATGGACGCGGCAGGTGGGGGAGACTGGGGGAGGGGGCCAGGAGGGAACAAGCAGAGGTGTCTCCAGGCCCTGGACATACTCCTCTAACAGCACAGAGCACGTAGCCTCTGGCGCTCACCAGCACACTGCCCTCCCAGCAGCAACCCACATACCCCGCAGAGGACAGACGGCCCTGGAGGTGGTGGGGGGGCAGAAAACAAAGTCCAGCCCGGCCCCTCCCTCTGTGCCTTCTGGGAGAAAGCTCTACTGTGGAAAACCTGACTTGCAAAGGAGGAGGAGGGCCTCACCATCCCCCGAACACGCTCTTGTGTGCTGGTGCTGAGCAAGTTCCCTCACAGCCGGGCCTGCCTCAGGGCCACGGAGGCCTGCTCCCATCCCCGCTTCTCACCCCAGTGCACCTCTCCAACAGGAAACTCTGAATCCTTATCTGTGAGGGTTCCTTGTCCCATTGAGGTAGTGATGACCACGACCACAGACGACTTCTGAGGCTCATGCTGCCGACAGCCTGGGGCAGACACCATCCCAGGGAAGAGTGCCCATGCGCCAGGAAGAGCAGAAAGTAGGCCAGAGAGAGCTTTGCCAGAAACCCGCCCCATCTAGGGCGTGTGATGGGTCTGAACAGTATCAGGCTGGGTGTGCAGCCAAGCCCAGCTCCACGGTCTTCTCCAAAGCCCCGTCTCTCTCTGGGAACCAGGGAGGAAGCCTCGCTGTGACCTCAGAGCAAGCCTCACCCCATTTTCTCAGTGACACGACCTTGGAAATGGGAATGTCGCACCAAAGATCTCTTTACCCAGCCCACAGAAGAACGGGGTGCGTCTGGCTACAGTGACAAAAGGTAATTTCAAACCAAAGGATTATGAGCCACAACGGACAAAGACTCACCTGTAACAGACAGCCCTGGGCAAAACGAGCCCCTGCTGGTGGCCAGCCCAGCCTGGCCCCTCAAGAGCACCTACCCAGCCTGTTTGTCTCCTGACGTCCATTAGACACATGATGCACGGGGCTGCAAGCGGCCAAGACACAGCAAAGGCAGGCTGCCTCACCACAGCCACGGGAGACAACAGGCCTGCCACTCACCTGCCTTCTGCTCCAAGGGCCCAGCACCCCGAGATCCTGATGCCAGGGTAAGCTGGGGGGCTGCTCATGGCTGGGACACAGGGGACACTGGACAGCAGGGTGATCCCAGGTGTGTACAGGAACATCTCCACTGTGCCTCTCAGACCCACAGTAGCCCCCCAGGACAGCTGAGGGGCCGCCTGAACTGCCCCTCCATGGGTGGGCGGGCGGCGGAGCAGATGAGGGGCTGGGGGAGGGGTCGGAAGAGCCCCGTGCAGAAAGAACAGGACCCACGGCCGCCTCAGAGGCTGAGGCCACAGGCATTAAGAGGATCACCCGGCTGGGGGCTGTGTGCTCTCCTGATATTAATAGCACTGACCCTGCTGAAAAGAACACCGTTGTGGGGCCTGGCAGAGCTCAGGCCGGCCCTGGGTGTGAACTGCACCTCCTGTGCACCGGCTGGTATACTGCTGGCCCAGGCTTGCTGAGGACCACAGTACACCCCGCCCCCCGCCCCCAGAACACCGTGGAAAAAACTCCAGACCCTGGGCCTGCTTGGGACTGTAGAGCCAACCCCCTCCTACCCACCCACAGCAGAACGGGGAAATCTGGGGAAATCGGGAGCTTTGCTGAATGTCAATGCTGAGCCCTGCGTCACACCCTTGGCCCCAAGGTGCCTTCTAGAGGCACAAACAAACCTGAAACATTAGCTGCCTGCCCCGCCCCTCCAGGGCTAGGCTCCAGCACATCCCCCAAGGCCACCCAGAGCTCAGCGTTCAGCCAGGGGACACAGCCAGTCTCCAGCCTGGCAGCAGGAGGAAGAATGGGTTCAGTTTGCTGAGGATGGGTCAGCCAAAAGATCTTTACTTCAGTGTGTAAAGGGATCTGCATCCCTAAGTCCCTGGCCTCCTTTCCAGCTTTCTTCCTGACTTGGCTTCTAACAACATGGAGGCTCAGAAAAGAGAAAATTCCAGGTAGGGTTTACACACCTGAAGAGGGGCCACTCCTGGAGGCTGCCTCAGGAGCAGCTTCGCCTGGCTGCCCGGGCACCAAGGATGTATCTGCCTCCCTGTCCGGAGGCACCTGGAGGCAGGGCTGAACTGTCCACCTTTGCCCACAAGAGCTTCTCCCTCCTGACCCCTGGCCTGGACACACGGGCAGGGGCCAGCCCCCACTTTGGAGGCGGGAGCTGTCCTGGGCAGGGCTGCAGAGTTGGGGCGTGCAGCACCAGGGCCTCCACCCGTGCCTGACACCTTGTCCGGGTTTAGGGAAATTTGCTGAGGCCAGATGGAGGAGGGAGGAGCTGATCCACGGGGGCCTGGCCCCAGGGGCCCAGACTGGCTCAGGGACAGAGAGGCATCAGGGCTTCCTCAGGACAGATCAAGTACTGGGGGGGCTGCGCGGCTACAGCCCTGGAGGAGCTGAAACAGGCTTCGGAGACTTGCGTGGCCCCTATCCTACCACCCCGGAAACCTCCCTGCAGAAGCCCCTTGTTCCTGCTGCTCTGGACAGGTCCAGTAGGCCTCCCTCCATTCCCACAGCTTCAAACCCATCTCCACCTGGACCGCGCCGGGAGACTGCCCGAGGGGTTCCCCGTTATCACCACCATGCTCATTTCTCTCCCAGCACGTCCAGTGCTAAAGTGTCCGAGGTCCCTGATCCTCTAGAGGAGCAAACAGACAAAGCACACGGAGGCAGCCGCCAATGTGGATGGAGAAGCTGGACGGACAGTCAGGAGCACGGGCACATACACCTGGATGCCGACCAGACCCAGCTCTGGGGCCCTCGGGGGGCGTACAGGGAAAACAGCCCTCAGGATACCAGCATCGGGGAATATAACTGTCAAGTCCAGAGGCAGTTCCGAGGCAGACCCCATGGGCCTCTGGAGAAGCGCGCCAGAATCTACACGTGCCACTGCCGGGTCCTGGCTCCCTCCGACCTCTGCCTCCCTGGGCACTGTGAGGGGCACCTGTGCCCACTACCTAACTCTGCACATGGGGTGGGGGCCAGCCTGCAGCTGCCACCGGTCCGTGTCTTCAGGGAGTGCTTCTCTCAAGCCTTCATCTGGCCTTACCCTCTCCGATCTCGGCCTAACGCGGACTCTTTGGAACCGCCGGGTGTCACAGACTCAGGCCTACGAGACTCGGTCACCCTGTGCCAGGATCTGGTCAGTTTTCGCTGGGAAGGTGTGAGCCTCCTCAGGGCAGCTCCTGGACCCCTCGCCTCGTCCCTCTCCCTGCCCATTCAGTGGCCCCCTGGCACCCAGACCATCCTGGAGGAGTCCAGGCACACAGCATTTCTGCCGTGGAAAGATCATCCAATCCCCGCGATGAGATGCCCGGGAGGGAACGAAGACTTCCCTGGAGTCCGTGCCCCCCCCCGCCCCCCGCGGCTGTCGCTGAGCCTTCCTTAAGGGACAGTTCAGGCCCAGAAGTGAGGAGCCAGCCCTCAAGGGTGGGTCTCCAGAGGCCCACCAGGGGGCAGGGCCCCACAAGCACTGAGGAGGACCCCATTTCCTCTTGGCCTCTCCCATCTCCCCGGTCAGGGAGACAAAAGGGCTCTTTCCCCGCTCTACCCCTCCAACTCGTGCAGCGCCTCCAGAGCCTCGGGGTGCGGCACAACAGTGGGCAGTCGGCAGGCCCTCCAGATTCACGAACCCTGGCCTCTCGGCTTATGGGCAGGAGCGGGGACAGGGCCTGGGTCCCCCTCAGAGCGTAAGGGAGGCACACGCTCCAGCCCGGGGACGGACACCAAAGTCAACTTTAGGAGAACGCGCTTTATCCGGCAGGCCTGCCCCCGGGCCCGTCTCCGCCGGCCACCCGGGAGCGGCGGTGCACGCACAGCCTCACCTCCCGGCCCCGCGCCGCCGGCCCCGCCAGGCCCCACCGCGGGCGCCGGCAGCCCTCGCGCGTCCAGATCCCGCCGGTCGTGGTCGCCCCTGCCCGCAGGCCAGCGCCCCACGGCACGGCGGGCGGGGGCTCCGGCTCACCGGGCCTCCCCCTCCCGCAGCAGACGCGAGGGGGCGTGCGCGGCCCCCAGCCCGTGCTCGGCGCGCCGCGCCTACCGGTCCTCGCACGCGGTCTCGCTCCTCTCCGCCGGCCGGTGGGGCCCGTCTCCGGCCGCAGCGGGCGGCGGAGGTAAGCGGGGCGCGTCAGCAGAGGCTGGGGGCGCCGCCATGGAGCTCGAAGGCCTCGCCGCGGGCCGCCGGCCGCAGGGGAGGCCTCTGGAGCCGGCCGCACTGGCCTCCGGGAGTCGTATTTCGGGGCTTTGCGCCGCGCCCCCGTTGGCGTGCCCCGCGAACTACAAGTCCCACAAGGCCCTCCGGCTGTGCATGCCGGGACTTGTAGTCCGGCCTCACCCGCCGCGAGAGGGAGTCTTCCGCGGGGAAGGATTCCCACCCCGAGCTTTACCACAAACTCAGCCGCACAAAGCCCCTGGAAAAAAATCAATAAACATTTATTTGATACAGTCATATTTAATACATACAGTTGATGGCCCACCCCCGCGCCACTTTGGGCCGGGAGGCGGGGACGAGGACCGGGGACAGATGGTCACAAGGTGGGCAGGGCCCGAGCTCACCGTCAAAACATCTTGCAAATAAACACTTTGTAGATAGAATATATATGTATATATATGGTTACAAGTGATAGCTGGAACCTCTCTTTCAAAATGCACTTATGTACGGAGAACTGGCATTAAAAAACCCAAACCAAGAAACCCAAAGCACAGGATGTGTGGTTGCCGGGCCAGAGCTGCTGGCCAGGCCCCCGAACCCCAGGCCTCCGGGGCAAGCCACCTGGGGCCCACCGACCTGGACACACCGGGACAGCCCTGCCCTCCGCAGACCAGGGTGCACCCGTTCTCTCCCTTCTGAACCGGAGGGACAGCAGGGGGGCTGCAGTGGGAGGGCCACTGGTCACACCAGGATGCACCCTCATCTGCCTTTGCACAAGCAAATAAAGTGCATCCTCTTTTTGTGTGAAGTGTCAGCCCCTTGAGTCGGCCCCTTCCTGTTCTCAGGGCAGGATGGGGGAGGGGGTGGGCTGGGCCAGAGGTAGATCTTCAGAAAGGGACCTGGCATTGTGCCCTGGGCTTGGGTCTTGGGCAGGGTCCGTGCCCACCATGCCCCGGGGGGTCTGCCACGCCAGTCCCTCTCATCGAAGGTGTCAATCAAGGCCAGGTGGTTACCTGGCTGAACGCCCACCAGAGCGGGAGATGGGCAGATCCTGCTGAGCACCCCCCAGGGCTCTGCTCCCTTTGGAGGAGGGCTCTGCCGACCAGCTCACCAGTGCCACTCACCAGAGCATGGGAAGCAGGTAAGGAAGAAGGGAGAGAGGGGTCCGACCCAACAGCCATGTTTGGCAGCAGCTCCCCACACCCACTTTAAAGACAAAGAAGGGGGTTAAAGTGCTAAACATCAAGTTACCCAGGACCCCACCTCTTCCCACACATCTCGGCAGGGTTCCCAAACCAGGGACCATCTGTGGACTTCAGGGGGCGACCTGGAAACTCACCCCCCAGCAAAAAACCAGCCCCCCACTCCCCAAGGGCCAAGTACCTGAGAGGCTGGGGCGGACGGCCGTCCCCAGCAGAGGTGTTGAGGTCCAACCTCCTCCAGCCACTGGTGACAAGGACAAAATGCACCTAGGGCTCCTGCCAGCCCTGCCCAAGGCTGCCCCTGCAGTGGCTGCCTGACCCCACCTCTGCCCCCACCAGCTGTACACCATAGTGACCCCCAGAACACAGAAAAGAAAACCCTTCTGCCCATGCAGTCCAAAGCCCTGCCCACACTGCCCTCCCTTGACCTTTGACACTGGATCACACCCACCTGCCCATGCCTCTACCCTTTGATCAAATCAAGGTGTGTGTGACTGGGGGTAGCCCATGTCTCTATACCCCCTCCCTACATCAGGCCAGGATTGCCCAAGTCAGAGCCTTTTGGCCAAAGGAAGAAGCTGGAGACAGGCAGCACGACATGCCCCAGAGGCTCCCCTGGAACCTGTCTCCTTACTGCAGAGCTAGGAGAGCTGAGCCCGACTGGGAGCCTCTCCTCTCCTGGGACTAGATGAGGACGGGAGCTGGGGGGGGGGGGGGCAGAGAGGTGCCCAGTCAGCACTGCCTCCCTGAGCAGGGGAGAGACACCCCCTCAGTCCCCAGATCCACCGTCGGCACCAGGAAACCCTTAGCACCAAAATGTCAGATTGTTGTGTTTTTGTATAAAAAACAGAATAAAAAAAAGGTTGTTACTTGTCACAGCAACAAGACTGGCATCCACTACACCCAGGAGACACACGCACACGGGCAAATATCAAAATTCACATCGTCCAGGATCGGCAAGACCGAGCCCTCAGCCCACCCCCACCCCCCAGTGGGAAATAGCCTCTGTCCAAACCCAGGGGCTCTGAGGATCCTCCTCCTCCCTACACTGCCAAAGTTGGAAGGTGGGGCCCAGGGAGGAGACCAGAGGCAGTGTGGCCACCTCCTCTGGGTGCCCTGAACCCTAGTCAACCTGCA